CTTGAACATACTCATTGATAAATCGAGCGTGCTTGGCCATGTGTCTAACTCGTGACGTGTTGCCGTTGTTGGCTACCACTGCAATCGTGCCTTGATTATCACAGTATACCGGTACATGTGGGTACGGATCACCAAATCCCACTTCCATCACTAGCTCACGGGCCCACGTTATCATCTTGCAACATTCACAGCACGCAACTAGTTCAGAGCTGCATGTATCCTCTGTAACTCGCCGCTGGCCGTGACTTTTCCACATCCATACATTACCATGCATACGTAGTACGTAGCCGGTCACTGATCGACTGGTCTCTGGACACGACTGGTGATCGGTGTCTGAGAATGCATCCAATGTCGGATACTCTGACGTTACTCTATACACCAAACCTAAGTCCTTCGTGGCGAGTGCATAACGTACAGCTCGCTGTGCAGCTCGGTAATTCTCGACTGTGTATGCTCCCATGTATCGGCCTAGTGTTCTCACTGAATTCGCCAAGTCTGGCCGAGTACAAGCCACAAGATACTGTAATGATCCTACTATCTCCCTAAATGGCAGTTTAGGGTCATTGATCTTTGTCACGTTCGTCTCGATTTCGGTCATCTTCTCATGGTGATACTGGGGTGATCGCACAGACCGCAAACCAAACTTCTGTGCAAGTCGCTCGACGTATGCCCTTTGGCATAAACTCAACATGCGACCTGGAATATACTTCACTTCCATGCCCAGTAAGTGTCTTACTCGTCCAAGATTCTTCAGATTGAAGTGTTTAGCAAGGTCCTGCACGACGCCATTGATATCACTTGACGTCCCAGCAATCATGATGTCATCCACGTACACTGTCAGATACACGATGCGTCCGCCGCGTCGTCTCCAATACACGCCAGCATCGTGTACACACTGTACAAAACCTATTTTAATCAGAACCTTATGCAGTGTGTCATTCCATATCTTAGACGCTTGCTTCAAACCATACAGCCCCTTTTGGAGCTTACAAACACGATCCGTTCCATCTTCATATCCCTCGGGTTGTTCCATATAGATAGTAACGTCGATCAGCTCTCCGTTCAAAAAGGCAGTGACGAAATCTACATGCACGCAGTCCAGATTCAAGAACATTGCGATCAGCATCACCATTCGGATTGACTCAATCCGAACAACAGGAGAGTAAGTGTCTAGATAGTCTATCCCAAATTTCTGCATATATCCTCGTATAGCGAGTCTGGCCTTCAGTCTGTCCACTTCTCCTTTTTCATTCCTCTTTATCACTAACACCCACACTGATGTCAATATGTTCGCTCGTTGCTGTCCCTTTCCTTTCTTCGGTCGTGGAACCAATTCCCAAGTCATGTTTTTCATGAGAGCCTCGTACTCTGCATCCATCGCATCTTGCCATCCTTCCGCATTGTCAGATTGCAGGGATTCTGTTCTAGATGTGGGGTTCAGGATATCGTTCACAGCACCAATCATCATGCACTGCATTAAAGTCACCGCCATGACCCATGTGTTGGGGTTATATCGAATGGTTGGTCTGCGTTGACGAGACGATCGACGCGAAGAAGTAACGGGATCATGGTTGGGTTGAGCTCGTTGTGCTGCTTGACCTTGGTTCACCGTACTCTGTCTACTTTCTCTAGAATTGTTACGATCAACCGGACTCAAAGCACTCGCACCCGACGTACTACGACCCCCTTCGTTCAACCTCCCACTGGCTCCGATAGTCTGACCGCTCACATTCACCCTTGATCGATGATCACCAGTAGGTTTCCCTTGCAAATCCGCTGCTCGGCAGACATCATTACCATTTTGTTCTTCAACCGCTTTGACGTATTCCCAGTCACTACTATCGTCACTGCTAGACTCCACGTCTGACGTGTTTGCAGTAGACGGAGGAGCAGGTTTTTCTTCAAGTTCATTGGGTTGTTCCACATTAGTGACAGCAACATGGGTAACTGGAAGTAAGACATACGGGATTTCTTTTGGTACGTCTTTCTGTTTGCCATAATACCTCCCAGCAAGCAGGTTTTCCACATAGTTTCCTCCAACCGCTACATCTTCACGAAAGCGAACTGATCTACGCTGAATGATGTTCCCGGTTCCAAGATCCAGTAGCCGATAGCCTAACGTTTCTTCTGCAATTCCCAAAAATACCGCAGGTTTAGCTCGCATCTCCAACTTGTTGCCTTGTGTAGCCTTAGGCAAGTGATGGTAGGCAACACACCTACATATCTTGATATCTTTCATGTCTGGCTTTTTCTTATACAGCTTCTGGTACGGTGTCATGCTGCCAAGAGCCTTTCGTCAAGCTCATGCTGTCGACATGCACGACATAATGCAGTATTTTCACCCCCACAAACACTGAGGTAAGTTTGCTGCATCTCGAATAGCTCTGACTTTGCTGAGCAATTTGCCCATTCAGCTTCTCCACCAAACAGTTCTCTTCAGGAGTGTACGCATTTGTTGTCATCAATCGGATTCCATGCTCACTCAGAAAAGAGGTCAGCTTGCCATTTAGGAATTCTCCACCCTGGTCACAGCTGAATGTTTTAATATGAAAGTCCTTTTCCAGTTGACGTATCATATTCATCATATTTTCTCCAGCATCACTCTTCTTCTTCAGAAGGAAGACCCATTTAAAGCGTGATGCTTCGTCTTGCACTAGTTGAAAATATTTTGCATCACCTGGTGTTGTGATACCAACGTAGCAGACATCGGACATGAGCCTCGCTCCACACTTCGTGGCACGTTTTCCCTGCTGACGCTTGAAAGACATTCGTTTTGCCTTTGCCTCCTCGCAAGCAATGCACTTTAGTGGTGTTCTCTTGAAATCGTCTAGAGATAATCCACTCATGCCATCCGCAAGACCTTCTTTCACCATCTTCTTCATGGCAGCCTCGTTCAAGTGCGCTAGTTTGAGATGCTATTTCATGACAATATTGTCCTCCAGCGTCTCCACAGGACGAGCCATCATTAAAGCAGCCTCCAGCACAGGACATGCTCTCATCCAGTAGAAACCATCCGATCCTTTATTAAATTCAAGTCGGACACCATCCTTGTCGAAATACTTGACTCGATGTTGCTCGTCGTCAGTGTTAGAGTAAGACGGCTTCCAGCCTATTCGCTCCAGTAACCGCTGGCTTATAAGGTTGGTGGCACCATCAGGTGCGTAACGAGTCCCAGGTAATTCTAGAATCTTCTTATTGGCCACTCGTAATCGGATCAAGCCTGAGTGCTCGTTAACATCTACGCCACCTTGCCAATCTAGAGCCATCATCGGGTCTCTTTCTAATTTGACAAACGAGCCGCCGTCAACACATACATGTGCCCCGGCTCCACTATCCAGCATCCAATCGTAGATCTTATGCTTCTGCGAGCAGCTATCGTTTTGACCCCAAGTCATCCGTATCGGTACAGGCGGGTTATTGGTGTCACCAAGGACACCAGGCCACACCAAATTCATATTCGTCGACTTGGTATGTTCGCCAGTATCCTTGCTCTCATTCTTCTTTAATGCCTTCCACCCGTAGCAATCAGCTCGGAGGTGACCCTTCTTCTTGCAGAAGAAACATTTTCGACTCTCCTGTCTGATCTTTATTCCTTTGCCGTTGTATTTCTTGAATTTGTTCTTCGGATTATGCTTAATGGGACACTGTGACATCACTTTGGTAGCTTAAGTATCTTCACTGACGTCTGTAACCCTCATTGCACAGGCTCTATCCGTTTCAGCTTCTCCAAGTAGAGTATTCACTACAGTAGCAAGGTCAGGTGGAGAGCCACCGTCGGTCCGACTGAATAATCGAACGTCATTTCGATGCGAGTCAACCACACTTTGCAGTATTATCCGAGCCATTTCTTCGTCCGTGATAGCTGCATTCATATTAGCTAATTGACGTCTCATGTCCTCAAGCTTCTCCAAATACTTTTCCATATCCTCACCAGTAGTAAATTTGGTGGAATACATCTTACTGCGCAGTCGAATTGCACTGGCATAGGCTCGTTTTGTCTTATCTTGTTCAAATGATCGCCACATTTCACGCGCAGTAGCCATTTTGCACACTTTCTTTGAGTCCTTGGGACACATACCGAGCAATAGAACGTATCGTGCAAACTGATCCCGTCTCAACCATTCGGGCTCGTTTGGGTCAGCAGCAGCATTACCGTCAATAACATCCCAGCACTCATGTTGTGCTAAGTAGCCTTCGATTTGGGCATGATATAGGTCAAAGCCACCGTCTTCGGTGTACTTAGGAGGCTTCGAACTACACACCCGTCGTTGAGCCGTACCACCACCTGCTGCACCATTCACCACTTGTTGTTGCTGCTGCTGCTGTCCATCTCCTTGCGGTTGTCCTTGCGGTTGTCCTTGCGGTTGTCCTTCCGACGACATCTGCAGCTTGAACGAGGTCACACACGATAATATACCACAACGTCTTACACGTGGTCTTGGGCTCGATAACCTACGAGAGCTTTCTTCTCGTGTAGCACAAGAGGTGACTGAAGTGTGGTGAAGATGGTGCGTGCACAAGAGATTGGGAAATCAAAAGTGAGTAAATCAAGACTAGTTGTGTTGCATCAGGGAAGGCCTCGACCAAAACCCTCTTACAGTCTCCAGTAACTACTCCGGCCCCCACGAGGCAAGGGAGTAGATCCTTCCTGGAGGACTCCGCAGAGTCTCTCCTGGATTTGTCCTTCTCCCTCATAGTCCCAACCACTCACAACTCGCACTTCTTACTCTCAAATATATTAAACTGGAATGACCTAGCAACAGTCCCCACATTGACTGTAACACCAAAGTGTAGCCATTTTACCGTCGAAGTCTCGTAGTAACTTCAGTAGACTGCGGTCGGGACCCCGCAGTGCGGCACGACTGTAAAAGTGGCACTTCAACCTTGGTCAACTGATTCTTCACCAGATCGTCAGTGCCACACAAGTAAAATTAGAACTGGTGCTCGAGCACAGCTCGATGGCGGTAGCTCTTCTGTTCGACACGATTCGCTGAGAACTTCTAGTCCATTTTCGGTTGATGCAGCACATCGCGCACCTGCACTGCAGGCTGCAGGGTGAAAGCGAAGCAGTTGATCTCTGCCAGACATGGCACAAAGCTAGCATACTTGAGACCGCTATTTTAGTATTGTTGAGGAAGAAACCAGGATCAGAGTCACACTTTGATATTCAACTTTCTTTTAATAAAAGAGACTTCGTCAAACAAAATGATACTTAGGCTATCTCCACTCGAGTTGCTATCGGAGTTGCTATTGCTAAAATAGCGACGGAATCAGAAAGAATATATTCTGCTATCTCCACTCGGAGTTGCTATTGCTATTTGAAAATAGAAATTCTGATTCGAGTTGCTATTCGGATCCCCAATAGCAACTCTGGTGCACGAATAGAAACTCACTCAACCGAAAAATCGCAGGCGCCATGGGGAGGTCGGAAGTGGTGTGCTCAGGAGGACGAAGCTCTGGCTCGCGCGTACAAGATTTCTGCGGAGAACCCAATACAAGGAACGGACCAAAAAGCTGCTGCATTCTGGGAGGATGTGTGCCGGCACACGGCAGCAGTATTCGACGGTGAAGCTCGATCTCTACAAGACGTCAAAAACCGTTGGAGCATCATATCACACGATGTAGCAAAGTTTTCGGGGTGTGTATCTCGTGTAAAAGGTCGCAACGAGTCTGGTAAAAGCGAAGACGACTTGACCAATGACGCCGGCACGTTGTATCAGGAAACCCATGGTAGTAGGCTCGAGTTTTTGTCGTGCTGGATAATACTGAAAAGCTGTCCCAAGTTCACGGCATTTGGACTACCTGCTCATCAAAAACGTGGCCAAAAGTCATCGAGTGAAAAGCAGGAAGAGTCCAGCCTCCGCCCAGAAGGAAGAGATAAAGCAAAAAAGGCACGACTACAACACACAGCACCAGTCTCAACTTCAACGCTGCTCCAACAACTACTCGATCACAACAGGGAGAAAAACGAGAAGATACTGGAAGAAATAAAACGCAAAAACGATTTGCGTGATGAAGAACTTTCTCTTCGGCTCTTTGAAACTTCTCCCGATACAGAACAAACAAGGCAGTTCCGAAAGCTGCTACAAAAGAAAAAGATGCTACAACTGCAACTTCATATTCGTAGCGCACAAAATTCGCCTTCTGAAGCTACTACCGAGCGGGCCGCCGACTTTGTGGTGGTAACTGAAATTTACGATCAGAACAGCGATGATGCAGTGGTTACTTTGGCTTTGATCTAAGTTCGCGCAGAAGTTCCATGAAAGTTCCAGTAGTGGTCGACAAGTGCATTTCGTAGCTCTTCATTTTCGCTCTCGCTTGTGATTTGACGTAAGCGAGCCACATATTGATCAATGCGTTCAGGGTTATATCTAATATACTCGTTATGCTCACCAAATGAACGTTCATGTTGCTCCTGTTGGTCTCCACCGGTAGTCTCAAGCGGGGAGATGGCCTTTCCTTTGTGAGAAATTCGCATGTTGTGCAAAATTATGCAGCAAAGTATCACATCTTCCATTTCACGCAAATTCCACAAGCGGCATTGTTGTTTTAGAATTGAGAACCGCTTTCTCAACATTCCAAACACACATTCAACTTCTTTGCGCACTGATTCTTGTACTTTTGTAAAGCAGCGCTGTTGCTCGTTGGTCGGGGTTGGAATTGCGGCTATTAAAATGTGCCACGAAGGATATATGCAATCGACAAAGTAATATGGCTGGGAACGAGTTTTCGTGCCCAATTGATACGTCCCAGCTGATATTCTTCCATTGAGCAAGTTGGCAATAAGCGGCGACCGGTCTAAAACATTTATATCATTTGCTGAGCCTGGCATACCGAAGAAGGAATGCCAGATCCATCGGTCGGCAGTAGCGACTGCCTCCAAAATTACAGTAGGCTTCTTCCCTTTTCCTTGGTAATAGCCCTTCCATGCGTTGAGGCACGCTGACCAGTCCCAGTGAAAACAATCTAGCGAGCCAAATAATCCAGGTAATCCTCTGTTTGCGTTAAAAGCTAGGATTTTCTCGGTATCTTCACGAGATGGCGATCGAAGAAACTCACGCCCAAAAATCTCGACGACAGACTTGCAAAATTTCTTCATGCATGAGGATGCTAGAGACTCACTAATGCGATAGTATTGATCTTGAGCATCTGCTGAATCTCCCTCGGACAACATGTGCAGCGCAGCAGCAACATTTTGCTTAGTGGAAGCCCCCATGAGCCCAACGGCATCGGAGTGTTGCTGAAAAAAATGCTCTTAAGATGATAGTTCTCCACAAATTTCGTGAACACCGCAATAGGAACACAATGTCGTCGCTCAAACAGCTTCTCGCTGTAGACAGGGTTGTCCCCAAGATAATCTCGCACCAGGGCTGCGTGTCCAGACGCAATGTCGCGCGCGAGGCGCTTGATTCTTCTTTTGTTTGAGCCTTGACGAAGTGAAGGAGCCGTCGCTTGTTCTGTTGGCTCCGCGCAGACCACAGCGAAAACAGCAGCTAAAAGATCATCGTCATCAGCGAGGAGAAACTCTTCGTCACTGCCCTCCATTGCCGATAGAATAGCCTCCGGTTGGTAAAAAATCCTTATTTCTATTATCGCAGCGAATAGCAACAGCCAATCAGATTCGACAAATTGCAATACGGATAGCAACTACGAGTGGAGATAGCCTTAGCCATTTGAGATAATCGAGCTTAAAGTTGGCCAATTGATTTTCGCATATTGTAAACTTTCTTTGAAAAACTGTAAAAGTACCCTTATTCGATTGATTTTAAAAAGGGCTTTTAAATAAAACTTTCTAAAATTCAAAAATATTAAGCTCACAACACTCCTAAATGTATCGTCATTTCGAGGGCCCATAAATGGAGATAATATTTTTGAGCGACCACAACTTCTTCAGTTTTTTACATTCTGTAGCTTAGAAGGGCTTAAGAGATAGTTGCTTTCGTTACGAGTGCTTAAATCGCAATTCGTACTTAGGTTCGTAAGTATCATTTTGTTTGACGCAGTCTCAAATGTCTTTGAGACTAAAATGCAAATTTTAAGTTGTAAAATAGCCACTCAAAATCTGCGTTTTTGTCTCAAAAGTAAAATTATTTCTTTTTTATTGGCAAACCATGGAGGCGAATGCGCAGGTAGCTCCTGCTTATCGCTGACGGCTGATATCTCAATGCGAGCAGTGATATAGCATTGCATACTTCTTAATTGTCTAACCAATAGTGTTTTGTTTGCAAATTTTTCGCATAGTATGCGCTGCACGACAGCGAAGCGGCGCCGCCAGCTTGGGCAGCTCGAGTGCGCCTCACGCCCGAACTGCTGCAGAAGCTTCGTCAGGATCCGCAGCAAGTGCTACTCAAGCTGAACGTCGCAAGTGGTGATGGAGCACCCAAAGCTCGTGGTGGCAGCAAAAAGACCAGTGTGATGACTGTCAGGTTAGCTGCGGATGACGAAATGGAGGAGACGGATGAGCAGTATGAGCTGCTATCTTTTCCGGAGGATCCAAGCATCAATCACGTTTGCACCTATAGGCGAGAAACTGGTGATGGAGCTGCTGGCGGCTACAGTATTTATAAAATAGGGGCCATCCACCAGAAGCTGCTGGTGCAACGTCTGCTGGACGCCACGGAGAAGGATCGCATCAAGGACAAGCACGCCAAGTCGGTACTTGCGTCTAAGTCACGTGCGTCCAAGCTGATTGATTCGAATTTGGAGAAACCCTCGAAAAAGCAGCGACTCACGAGATTGTCGAGTGTACCAACTGCGAGGGCGTCTGGCGGTGGAAGTGCATGGTCAGTAGCTGCAGGGAAGAAACGGTAAGATCCAAGCGGATTGGTGATCATAAGAGGAAAGCTGACTATATGGTCTGAACTAGGACGATAAAACTGGTGCTGCCTTCAGCGTTGACGAAAGAGGGAGCCAAGGAGGCTCGAGAGACAATTGAAAGCCGGGTCGAAGTTGAGGTGGAAGCTGCACCAGCTGCATCAAGGGAAGAGGAGAAAATCACCGTGTACGAAGCAGTAGACAGCGACCAGAATGAGACTCCGACTGTTGTTGTCAGTAAGGAGACTGCAGCTGCCGCTCGTGATGCAGATTTTCATGCTCTCTTTTCGTCAGACTCGGATGACGAAGAACATGGAGTGCGTCGGAGCCAAGTGCTTCGAAGGGAGAAAAAGAAGACAACAATAGAAGTGAAGGAGCGTAATAGCACTACTGCAACAGGTGTAGACAACGAACAATCTGAAAGCAAGTCGGTCGCTGGGGCAAAGAATGAGGGCTCTTTGGGCTCAGATTCAGATGCGACAGCACAACCAAAGGAAACAACAAACGCAGCAACCGGCAATGGTGTCAATGATGAGTTAGCCAAGAACGAATCAAGTACGACTGAAGCAAAGCAGAGTGAAGAAAGACTGGATATTTATGCGCTGAAGCCTATCAAACCGTCAACTCGTGGTGTCGAGGTTAAGCGTGCGCGGGTGCGCTCTGCCCTTGTATCCGATCGGGTGAAGCAGGCCCGTTTGCCCGACCTGTCATTCTTCCCGTCCGCTGTTGTACAGATCTGCCAGCGACTAGCAAATTATCATGGTCGATCGATTATTCTCGACGATAGCGACTACGACTCGTTCGTGGAGACGCACGAGCAGTTCCGGCAAGACTGGGAAATGCTGGACAAGGTGAGCAGCAGCATGCTGTGGTGACCTTGTTGTCGCTTATATCTTTCTATTCGTGCCCTGTGTGCTTGCTTGCCAGGCTTATTCCATCGAGATGATCAAGACGGAGGGACTGCATCTGCAACTTGAAGTGGCGTCTTCCGACAGTAACTGCGAGCAGCTCCGACAAAGAATAAAAGCATCCTCAAGTAAGAAAGAGGTGCGTCTGCTGTAACTTCAGCTGATAGTAGACGCGTTATTCGCCAACGCTGTTATAACTGACGTAATAGGGGTTGCTCTTCGTGCGCGACGCCATGGCGAGCATCCAGAAGATTTTGCACAGCATCCAAGTATCTGTCGATCGCTTCGATACGAAGTCGCACACGTCGCAGACCACATCTGATACACAATATTAAGTAAATCTGTGGTTCCACACATCGGTTTTCTACATTACACAATCTACCGTAGCCAGCGAACAAGTGATCGCCCACCCACATAGAGCAGAGAGAACAGTCTAACCAGCCACATCAACATAATGCAGGGAGGAGACTCGCGCAGCCTCACAGAGCCGCCTTTCATCGCCCGCGTGAGCGTCTCAATCAAAAGGTACGCTTCTACGTAGGGATCTTCACTTGATGGGGGCACAAGACCGACAGTTGACATGAGAACTACGTCGTAATAGTCCTCCCTCTCTATACTACAGCCATCCCTAATATTGACACTATTGTAAATGACAGGAAATGGCAGCATCTGCTGGACAAGAGCACCATCCACGTGTACGGTCGCTGGGGTGTGGCACTTGGCCTGCTATTGCTTTATCTCGTGCGCGTGTTCTACCTCAATGCCTTTCACATTGTGACCTACGGCCTGGGCATCTACCTATTAAACCTTTTTATCGGGTTCCTGTCGCCTCAGATGGACGCAGAAAGTGATGGCCCGCTGTTGCCTCACAAGCAGAGCGAGGAATTCCGGCCGTTCACGCGTCGCGTACCTGAGTTCCAGTTTTGGTACTCTACATTCAAGGCTACCATTGTGTCCCTGCTTATGACGCTCAGCAGCGCCTTTGACGTGCCCGTATTCTGGCCCATCCTGCTCATCTACTTCATCGTGCTTTTCGCGCTCACCATGAAGCGCCAGATTAAGCACATGTGGAAGCACAACTACGTGCCATGGGACCACGGTAAACAGGTCTACAAGGGAAAGAAGAACGCCAAATAGACTCCCATCGAAGGTACCAGCAGCGAAGGAGCTCAGGAAATCCCCCGCCACCTCCAATTGGACCGAGCCATGCTGCCGAACAACTCGAGAGGACCTGGTTAGACGTATGACTAAGACTTGGAGGCTGATTGTGCTAGTCCTCAATTGCCAGCCTGCCCTTGGCATAAAGTGAATTTACCCAACATCCTTTTACCGGAACACGACGTCACTTTCCAGTTTTATGTTTACTACATAATATTAACCGATCATTTCCATACAGTATCGCAGCACTCCACAGTGTTGTTGACATGTCACCGATGGAGCAGCGCTGGTGGCTTGCCGCCGCGATGCCCGGACGACCACTGGGACGCTTTCGGACGCTACCGCTACGCTTGCAGCGATTCAGGACGCCGAGTCACGACTGCCGCTTGTTATCCGTGCTATTGGATCCGAGCGACCGGCGCACCACGGCAGACAAAGAGCGTATCCGAGCGCTCGTGCTGCATCGAGTCATGAGCACGACACCACCCAACGATTCCGACCAACAGAAGAAGCAACACGAGCTTGAAGCGAAGACAGCTGCCCGGATTCTGAAGCAGAAGCTAAAGAAGGACATGGAGACAGCCAGGAGCCTCGTACGAACCGTGGAGACTGCCGAGTGTGTGCATTTTATATAATTTCTAACATCCGAGATCTTGTGGCTCTAAATATATAGGCCATGCATCAAGTAGTGAACGTGCCGAACGTTATTACCGCAGCGCGGATCCTAGCCACTCCCTATCTAGCACATTTGATCATCCAAGGAGACTACGTCTCAGCTATCGGCTGTACGACCGGCTGCAATTGCTACGATTCAATTTGGCCACCAACCTGAACTAATTGCTGTCGTTATCATAGTGCTGGCAGTGGCAGGCGTGTCTGACTGGCTGGACGGCTTCATCGCGAGGACGTTCCACCAGGAGTCGATCGTCGGCTCATTCCTAGACCCCTTCGCAGACAAATTGTTGATCGGTACCTTGTCACTCAGTATGATGTGGACGGGGTTGCTGCCGTTGCCCTTAGCAGCTCTAATTCTGGGTCGAGATGGTATGTTAATTGGTGGTACGTTCTACCACCGACTGAAAACCAAGGACGAGTCCTCGGGGTTCTTTGATACATCAGACAGCGGGGCCTTCCAGGTGAAGCCGTCGATGCTCAGTAAGGTGAACACGGCGCTGCAGCTGTCAGCCTTCGGGCTTACACTGACGAACGCAGCCTGGCAGATTCCCCCGGACCCGGCACTCAGTCTTCTTTTGTACGTCGCTGACTTCTCTAGTGATTGAATACTTAATTTCTGACTCAGTGGTGTCTGCAGTGGTGTCGTTGGTACCACGACCTTCCTGTCCGGATCCGAGTATCTGTACGGATATTTAACCAAGACAGGAGCATTCAAGCCCCTCCCAAAAGCTGTTGAGCGGCCACTTCGCAAAGCAGTGGAGCGAACAGAAGCCGTTATAGAGCGCACAGAGGCAGTGGTTAAGCGCACAGAAGAAGCGGTCAAGGTCCCTCTTCAGAAGGCAGTTCAACGTACGAAGGAGCGGCTGAAAAAGTAGACACACTACATGCAGACCAGGTATTCGGCTACTGCAGAGTTCACGAGACGATGAAACTGATATTCAGATAACCGGGACCGGGTGTGCAAGCTCGTTAGCCGAAGAGTGGAAGTGAGGCAATCGAGAGATTCAAAACCCTTACAATTCGTGGTCTACTACCCCGCCCTTATTTCATTCCTGGTGTGACACTACCGGAGATGGCACCAATCTTCGTGGTACGCCCAGCACTGCTACTCTTGAGGTAGCACTGGGTACCTGTTGGATCATCGTTGATACAAGTGTAGGAATCACAACCTGGTGTCTTACCACACTCCTCGCAGCATTCACCGGGGCCTATACCCGATACCCGCTTGATGTCGTTTCCGTAGTAGTCAATGTTGGTCTCCACGTAGCATCGAGGACGCTGGATGCACTGGTAGTAACTCCAGTCCCATGGCTGGCAGTAGAAGTCGTTGGCGCACGGTCGGAATCCCGTGTGGTCCCCACACTTGGACCAAGGTGGAAGAGAAGGCATGACACCAGAGTGTACACCAACTTTCTTCACCCAGCCATCGACACTGCTCTTAAGGTAGCATTGCGTGCCTCGAGGGTCGTCGTTCACGTACGTGTAGCCGAGGCAGCCCATGGTCTTGTCGCACTCATCGCAGCATTCTCCTGGTTTGATATCCTGGATCCGCTTGAGGTCGTTCCCGTACAAGTCGACATTGGTGTAGACTTCGCACTTGCTGGGCTTTTGAATGCACTGGTAGTATTTTGAGTCCCACGGCTGACAGTAGAACCCTTGCGTGCAGAGTTTGAAGCCGCTTTGGTCGCCGCACTTTCCCCATGCCGGAATTTCTCGCCCTGACATGACGACAGTGTTTTTGCCCCCACTACCGCGGATGAAGTCGAACATCGTCTGGGCCTTGCTCACCAGACGACACTTGGGCTCAATTTGTCTCCATCCACCGTCGTCTGTGACGAAGAATTGACAGTCGGGGTTGGCAGTGCAATTTGCGCAGCATACTTCGGGGCTTGCGGGGTAGAGCACCGTGCCCACTAAATCTCCCTCCGTGTTCGTGTTCGAGTATTGAACACCGCACGATGGATCCGCAGCGTTCACAATGGCCGTTAAAATCGACAACAGCCCGACGGTAGACGCAGCCGACACCATTCCACTTGATTGATTTTCTTACTTGAGCACTGCGGAGGAAATAAGGGACTGGCCTTAAAGTTTCAAGAAAGCCGACGAGGTTGAACTTCAGCGCCACGATACTCTAGCATTGTTTGTCAAGCATACCGAGCAACAAACAGATTTCGATAGAACGCAAGTTGGCTATACCGGTACCAACCTTCTCCACCAAGCTTGCTTTACACAACGACTCTTCCACTCATATTCAGCATTATACTTTACAAATGTTGGCTACAGCTCAACAATTTTGCCAGAATACACTCCCTTTGTTTGGGCTCCTTCGCTCGAAGGTACATGTAGCTCATATTCGCCAGCGTCTCTGCGCTCTGGGATGGGCGGAAGGCTTCTCCTGCAATGCAATTGACGCTTGAATGCCCAGCTTGTGAATAAAACGCAATTGCCGCCCACGAGCATACCTCCATGGAGGTCTTGTGCTCGATAAGTGCGCGGGACTTCCACTGGAGGCTCGACGTAGTCGTCTTCCTCATCCGAGGCACAGTCGAAAATGTCGGGCCATGGTTCATCAGAATTGTCCGAATTCGATTCGCTCAGCGGCTCTGCATCACTGGCGCTCAAGCTGGCCGTGGATTCTGCAATGTACTTCATCAGCTCCTTTGTGTATCTGTGCTCTTCGTAATCACGGTCATTTGCGGACACTGATTTGCGTCGGCTTGCATCTAGATCCAGGCTCTCCATAGGGCGTTCTCGAGGTCCAAACACCATCTTGAGCCATGCATCGCTGGCATTCTGGGCTAGCATTACTGGCTCCAGCGGCTTGGGCGTCGCAGTAAGAGGAGGCATTAAGCTCGCTTCGGTTGCTTGGACTGTCACCGAAGATTTGAAAGTGAAGTGGAGTGATCACCTGGATGCCTGGATGTATGGAGGTGACATGGATTATATGCGAGAACTCATTGACTGGGTGTCTCACCATTGAAGGCTGAGGAAGAGTGCAACTCGTTTTAGAACCTGTCAGTGACAGGCTGTCACTGCTATTAATATCGGCTGTCTGGCTGCTCGTTCTTGTACATGACAAACTTATCCTGCACAGACTGGTCCGAGCTCAGAATGTACCTCCACACCAACGCTGTCCGGTTGGCCTCAAGCATCGAGTAGCCGAAGTGCTCGTAGTCCGACACTGCGTTCACGATGCTGTATGGGTCGGTGGTTTAGACATGCCTTCCACCTGACCAGCTCCACCCGTCAAGATATACACGGGGGCTTGCGGGTTGTCGTACACTTTGTAGTCGTCTGACACACCGTCCAGTATAGCCTCGTTGTTGGCGACGGGCAGGTCTCGCTCATAGTAGTGTTTGTGGCCTGCCACCACCACGTCTACTTTGTATTTAATAATGAGCTCTTCAAATGCAGCCTGGATCAGCGCAGTTTGTTCGTTTGGCACGTCGTTCTCGGAGTTGAGGACGCTGTAGAGGGGACGATGCATCCCTACGATGTCCACGGTACGCTGGCGCGGTTGGCGTTCGCCTTCTTGAGATCCGCCTCGATCCAGCTCAATTGGTCCCCGAAGTTGCCATTGTGGACCCAAGGCGTCATTCGGTTCGTCGGCGCCCCAGGGTAGTCGGTCTCAGACGAAATCGATGTGAAATGAATTGAGCCGTGGTCGAACGAGTGCCACATATTCAAAGTACCACCGCTCTCCTCATACGGCATCTTGAATCGAGTGTTGTACGCTGTGTAGTTGCCGAGCGCGTTCCGTTTCTTACGCGAAAGTTGGCACGCCGGTGAGTGGCATTCGGCCTCGTGGTTGCCTACTAACACCATGTACGGGACGCGGCTCATAAGCGGCATCAAGGAGTTCATCCACTTGTTGTACACTTCCTCGTAAAAGAAACCTGCAGCTTGCTTCAACACCAAAAAATCGTCGTCTGCGTATGCGATATCGCCGAGATGATAAACGAGGTCGATGTCATTGGAGGTGAGCTGGTTCACGTTGGCGATGGTGTCCACCGAGTTCTCGCCGTCTCCGAGGTCACCGTAGATCAACACGTTGAATGTACTTTCGTCTGTGGCTGGTCGCGCGGTAACGAACGAGCCGACATCACCTTTATATTTCTCGTCACCTCTACTACCCACTTTGTAAAAGTACTTGGTTCGTGGCTTGAGGCCTGTGATTTTGGCGTGGTGGTGGAACAAATTGTACTCCTTATTACTGTAATAACTTTCGCTGGACACCGGCGTCTCGACCAGCTCCAGCGAATCCTCGGAATCGCCAAGCCACACGGAGCTGTCCGTCACGTCCTCGAACGTCGCCCACGATACGGTCATAGCTGTACCAGGTTTCTTCCCTGCGAACGCCAAATGGATCTGCTGCGGATAGAAGTTCACGCCATCCTTGACTCGGCAGGATTGGTTGAAACTGAGGTCTCCGATGTTGTAGTTGAGCTCGCAGAGACTTGCGGGCTCGCAGACATCCCGTACTTTGTTTCGGTAGCATGCATTATCGTCCACGATAACGTTGGCCTTGACAACGGCAATAGCTAGAGCTACCAGTGAGAGAGCACGCATGGACGGCGTGGAGACTAATTAATAGTGAATGGCTGAAGGTTCTTCAGTGAAGAGCGAGACCCCGCTATCCCATCTCAAGAGCATGCTGGTTACAGATTTGGACCAAACCGTTCGGTACTGTTACATAATCAGAGATCCTACCGGTTACAGCGACTTTGGATCAGGTGAAATGTATTACAGTACAGAGACGATCCTCTGTATTGATGGGGGAGGGTCAAGATAAATACTTCTCTGTCCCCCCAATTTATAGGGACTTTGGTTTTTTTAAAGTACCTATATGAGCTTGGTAAAAGTCTTAGTATCCTTATTCGGAAGCTTGGGTCAGCGTGCTATTCGCTATATTTTTTGTGACTTTAAACAGCGACCAGCAAGTAAATAACGCCATGAATGTGGGCTCATATTTGGAGAGAATTCTGTTATTTTTCGGAATTCGTAGGTTTATTAGCGAAATTTTACAAAACTTGCAGTAAATGCAGCGTAATCACGATCGACGTGTGTACTGTAGCACTCGCTAATAGGCGCTCAATTACAAAAGGTTTTACTGCTGTATCAAATCATTGAAAGAAACACAGTATTAGCCAATCGGATCATTGTAAGAAAATTCGTGTATTACATACAAAAACGAAATCCCTATAAATTGATGGGACAGAGAAGTTACGTATTCTATTTAACCGATGTTAATAGATGCCTGGTAAAGTTTTAGACGTTGTCTGAGACAGCTTGTCTCAACTTTTGCTCTTTCTGTTTCCTCCAAGGCGCCGGCCGGGTTTGGGGTGTCGTCATACTGTATTGGCATAGCAGTCAAGGCAGAGTTGCAGCTGTATTCCTGTTATCCTGGTGTGAGGCCGGATTTGCTCCTGATGCGCGAGTCGCGGCGCGACTGCTGTCAAGCTGACAGCAGACGTCAAGCTGACAGTAGATGACAGTCAACTATTGAAGCGTACTCGTCCACATGTATCGGATATTTCAATTAAGCGTGTTGAGACCAGTGTTTGCCTTCGTGTACGACTTGATTCCTAATTTGCCACAGTTGGGCTTGACCAACGCTGCAAATCGCCCACCACACGACAGCGCGTAAAAACCACTCGACAGTGTCGCGTCGGCACTGTAAACATGGAAAAATCCCCCAAACTGCGTATTGGCACGTGGAGAGTCTGAAAAACACATTAACTAGCCAGTAAAAACATCGTTTAGCGTGTGGGACATCGTGCTGCGTGTCGCCACTCCATACTACTGGACCTACACAACTGGCCGCGTTTCGTGCACGGCAGGCCCGTCCCTGGCTTCCATATTGAACAGAACCAGCACACCCAAGGCTCCTCAGACGGAAGTCTGGCCTCCAATCAGATTGGCTCCCTTTTCATTCGCTTAAGCACCATGCCTCTACGCTACCGTGGCGAGAGCTGGGCACTGAGCTCGGCCTCGATGAAGCCGACGCCATTCTGGCCACGTTCAAGATCCACAGCACCGACAAGAGCAACACAATACCCTGTAGCGTATGCCGCGTTGGTGACCACCACAGCATGCGCTATAGGCTACTCAAATGCGAGTCCAGCTCCTGCAGCGACCTCACTTGCTCGTGGCGCGGCAAGGTGCTTGTATGCTCTCATTCTGATGATGCCTACATCTACGAGTTGGGCGAGCACTTCACTGAAGCCTCTTCCCCCAAGCGAATTAAGCTGTCCAGACAGCAGAAAGAATACTGCCGAGAGCTCGCGAAGCAAAGGCTCCGACCATTTCGTATCCAGTACGCCATGGCTCGAAACTTTCACATGTCAGCTAGCGACATCCCTCCTCTGAGAAAAGTACAAAATTTCTGCAACTATTACACGCGGACCGAGCTCGACAACCACGTTCGCGTCACCGATCTCACGCAATGGATTCACTCACACGCGTTCACTGGTACTGAGGACGATAATGAGACTTTTACTTTCGCTTGGGCTCTGGACACAGATGGCAAGCCTGTGGTGGGCGACGGCTCGGACGAAGAACCTTTCGTTGTGGGTCTAACGACAAAGAACTTGGTGAAGAGGCTCTCAGTGCCTCCAGCGAGCTACGTCCTTCATATGGACGCGACGTTCAAGCTAAACACGGATACCGGACCGAGCTCGCAGCTTCCATCTCGTGTCAGTTTTTATCGTCTCGCAGGACGAAGCCAATCTACGAGGCGTGTTTGGCTTCATTAAGCCACCTCTACTACTGGATTACAGCTAGAAGGCTGGCTCCTTGATACGCAATGGGAGACGCAGAGAAGGCGCAGCGGAATGCCATTTTCATGGTATTTCGCGAAGATCCACATCTCCAGTATCTCATGTGTTTTTTTTTCACGTCATGACTAACGTGGAAAAGAGGCTGAAGGGATTTCCCTCACATGTAGCAGCAGCACTGGTTCATGATCTGTACGACTTGCATTTTGCCCGTGACGAAATATCATTATCTTGGATGCTGGAGCAGTATTTGTAGACCTGGAGATTGTACCTTACCTAGTAGACTTCTGCACGTACCTTGACGAACAATGGCTGCAAGGAAACGTTATTATGTGGCAGTGCTTTCGAACTCCCTGTGCGTTTGCTACCACAAACAACCCTGCTGAGCAGTTCAACAGAGTGTTGAAGCGTGACTACACACTGCGACGTCGCCTTAAAATGGGAACTCTGCGTAAGGAGTTACGCGACTGTTGCATGAGCGAGTCGCGCAAGCAGCGGCTATTTCGCACCACGCCAGAAGCAGCACCAGCCCTCACTCGTCGCGTGGTGGAACTCGTTCGGGAGAAGCTGCTAGCTCGCAATACTGCTGCTGACGGGATGTTTGGAGACGCTGGGGTGATGCATGTGGTAGCCCATCCTGCAAAGCGTATCGTAGTGGAGGGGGCAAAGCGGTCGACGGAAGAGCAGATAGCAGCTTCGGCCCAAATGGGCGCCAGCTACGCGCGTATGGAGGTGCAGGACGAACCTCCTCCCGGCTGGTCTGTTCAACTACGCGCGAGATGGTGTCCATGTAACTACTGCTACAAGTTTGGAACCTGTGTTCATGTCCTCTTTGCTCTCCGGGCATCGGATCGTCTTGATGGAGCTGGACGGCGAGTGCTTGTGAGTCGACGAACTACTGGCAAGCGCAATAGCGATACACTGGGAGAAAGACCTCGTCTAATTAGGCCAGTGCTGTCTTTAGAGTAGAGTTTCAGCTCCAGCACATGCGTACGGCTTGATAGATACTAGGATTCGGGTGTAGTGTTCTTTTAATACGTCTTCAGCAACAGCTAGAGCGAGCATTTACTTAGTAACACTTTTTTTTCCTCCAGCACATGCACCACCTACATGTAGGTGGCGGAGTAAGGTGCCATACGTCGCGTAAGACCCCCCGAGCACAATACAAACGAGGATATAAACTGAAACAAAGTTTTGACTCCAGCATCAGAGTTATTACGTGCATATTCGCAGTCGACACTCACAGACATTATACTCGTGGTGATGCCAGTGCTGAGAGCGAGGAACCTATCGTATTCGAATTTGCGCGCTTGCACAACGTCCGCTCAAGTAGTAGTAAGAGACCTGTTAGGTGTCTGTGTTGTGGGAACTCATATCGGAAGTGCTGGAGCAGCGAAAAATAGTCCGAAGTTGATGCAAAAATCAAAAGTCGATTACGAGAACCTACACTCCTACTACTGTTCTTGCCAGCACTCGTCACAAGCACACTTAAGCCGCACTTCATCACCGTAGTTCACCGTTATCTCAGTGCCTGCCTTCACAGCCTTCTTCATTACGACAAGGATCTGAACGCTGCGTCCGTTGCACGTTTCAATAAAGTCCGCGTTTGGTACGCAGGAATGTGAGATGAATCGCATTAAGGGGTCACACACTTGCCAGCCTCGATGTACACGTACTTCTTGGTTGTAGACTTCGTGTAGTAAAGCATCGTGTAGCCACTGCTATGCTTTTTCGCCACCTCTGGCTGACCCTCAATCTGTGCCTCGTGCGCACTTAGCTGACCCACATACTCGCCCAAGATGCCCCCGACGTCCAAAACGGCAGTAGTTTACACTCCTAAGCCAACACAAGCGGTTTCAAAAAGATTCAGAGTCGCTTGATTCCTTGGCGCATTAGTGCACAAGGCATCTAGCCGACAACACTTCGGAGTGCAGTAGATGGAGGACTGTGCGTTCTCGCAGGTGTCGCAGAAACAGTCGCCAACGCAGCTGCAGGGATTGAAGTCTTTGACGTCAGGGAACTGCAGTCCCTCAGGAATTTGGCACTCATTATTCTCGTCCACTCCGTTCGGCCACTTAACTGTCACTGCAGGCGCCAGCAACACCTCAGCCGTATCCTTCTGCTTCGTGTAGGTCGGTCGTAGTACGTGTAAGGCTTTCAAACGCTCGCGAACGAACGGGAGCCTCAGGAAGTCCTTCATCTTCTTGGCTGTAACGTTGCGAGAATGGTGCACGTTGGCTCCATCCCTGGTGATCGCACTACGGGCCATATGCTTCTTCTTCCGCGAGCGGGGAGCATGCCACTGGTTCGACCGCTTTTTTGCTTGGTGGCGAATTTTGTTTCTTTCCAAACGAGTCGGTATAGTGGCCAGGTACTGTTTGAGGTCCAGCACCTCTTCCGGGCTCTTCGAAGGCTGCGCGTTACCTGGAGAAGAATCCTCGCTCTTCGCACTTGCGCATGGATGTGAGGGAACCGGCAGTGTGTCAATGCTGCGCTCTACACTCCCAGTCGTAGTGCTGGGCGTCGAAGTGGCGTTCATCAACAATTCCACAGACCCAGTTTCAGAATCAGGAACCGCTAAATCAAGCGGTATCTCCATCGGAAGTTGTCTTGACACCTCTTCCTCGCTCGCAGGTCCTTTACTAGCGTCTGTGCGCTCGCCTGCACCTTTGGCGGGTGGCTGAAAACTTAATTTAGTGGTGCTGGAGAAACATACGTCTGGAGCAGCTTCGGGGATTCTTCCAGCAGAGTTTGCTGGGGCGTGGGACTCCGCTGCTTCTCTCTCCAACGCCCGCGAATAGTACTGGATCAAGTCGCCGGCTCGGAGAGTCTCGTGTGGTAGCTCGCTGCGCTGGAGGCGTACCATGCGGCTAACGCTGATGCTAGAGGGTGATCACCGAAGGCTTTCACGCGGCTGCCGGGTTCCGATCTAGTGGGCTGCATATGAGCAGGGGCAGTCCACTACATTCGGAAGACATTTGCTTCCGGTCGAACCTTGACAAACTGGGAGCCTGTCTCTCTCGCTAGGAGTGCGTCGCGAGGCGTGCAGACGCAGGCGGCCTACCAGCGGTCCCGTCCACGACGTTCTGTGGGATGGTTTCGTGTGTTTTTCAGGTCTGTGCATATGTTCTAAACGTTTTCTCCCACCACACAGGGCACCCGAGTGTCATGCGACAAAGTAGTTAAAACACCATATGGATCTTGCATAAATAGTACCGTTAAAGGCGCTTAAGGAAATGAGCGCCCTTAAACTATTCATGATATTTTCTGAAATGTAAAACTTACACGTAAAATTTTAAATTCGCCGGAAAATAACCCGTGTGTACACTACAATCTCAGCTAAGTTCGAAGAATGCTGTAGGTGCGATGAATCCTGGCCGTTTAATTTTGGGGTTCATTCGAGAAATCAGTGCCACGTGTCGAAAGTCGTCACTCACGGGAAGATTCCTACCTGTTTTCCTGCTAGACGATCACTCACTGATGCGATAGTTGACTGGAGATCGCAACTTAAATGTTTGAAGGTACTTATCACACCTTTATTGCTATATTTATGGTCATTACAAACAAATTCTCCAACGTTAATGCTTCG